ATCAAAACGCATGATTTCAAGTCCCTGAAAGCAGTTGATACAGAGGAGGCACATGTGTAGGGATTAATACTTAGCTGAAATGGGGCATGACAAAGCTTTATTCTCATGACATTTGTCTCTTTTAGCCACATGACTTGTTTTATTTAGAATCTTCTAAGATCTTGAAAACATACACTTTACCATCATGATAAAAAGAGTAAGTAAAAGCATTCTTCTCTTTCCAGTGCAGTAGATGCATAGAAATAAACAGTTGAGTGTATATGCCTGTGTAAATCAATGTAACAGAATTTCTATTTATGAAACTTACAGTTCCTATGAAGAATAAGCTTAGAAAGCATGCTATAAATGTCACTAATAATTGTTTTACTACAAACACCTCATAGCTCTCCGTGTTTTTCCTTGGAAGGTACTCAGAAGACCTTTCAAAAGTAATAGTTCAACCTAAGTGTGCACTTGAATATCCGTGTTTCCAAGTTAAAATCCTACGGTAGAAGGATTCTACCTTACGATGCCCTCTTTTTTTCTTTCTCAGGGAAGTGCTGAAAACTAACTCATACATTAGTTTCATAAAGAGTAGAAAGTTACTTTATGTGGATCTGCAGATTTGCATTTATGAGTTTACTTCTTTTATTCTTCCATTTTTTTTTTTTTTTCTTTAAAAGATCTTCGTTGATTATCCTGACACCTGCTGGTGAGGGCACACTTGATTCTAGTCTACTTTTCCCTTCAACAACTCACTCAAATCAAAGACTTTTCAGGGGTATTTTCAGTGACAACTGGTAATACATTTAGTTTAACTATTTACCGTACTTAATTTTTAGCTGTATTACATAGGAAACCATGAGAAACATTTTAATAATTACTTCACATTGGCAGCCATTTGACTCTTTGTTTATAAAAGCATGTTTGCTTTGATTAAGCAAACATTATAGTCATTATATGGACTATGATAAAAAGAAAAAGAAAATCATCCCAGAGGCATAGTTATATAGTCTATAACTATAGAACATGTAAGGAAGATGCTAATCATCTTCCCTAAAACACAGAGAAAAACTGAATAATAGGAATGGCTTAGCTTTGGTTTTCTACTTTTTACAATAATAATGTTAATTTTCAACCTATTTAGCAAATAAAGGGTAAACTGATTATGATAGAAGCCATAACACTAAATACATATTTGCAAAATTTACTATTTTTTACTCACTAAATATTATGATTTAATTCTGACTTGAACTGAGTTCTGAAGCCTGCACTGTTTCTTTGGCAGAGATACAATAAAGCTACTACATCATGATCACACTCAACGTTATTGCAACTGCAAGTGTGTGCAATAAACAACAAATATCAGATTTACTTTTTTAGGTATCAAGAAATTCTCACAGGAGGCAACTTTTGCAAAATTATTCACAAATGACAACAATCCTTCAAAAATAAAAAGTTTTACCTAATTAAAATTTTATCTTAAAAGTAACAGCTGGTACTACTAATTTAACTCTAAAATCAGTCAAACTTATATTTTGTAATGGTATTGAGTAACCATGTTACTTTATTTTAGTCATGTATATCTTATACTTTTTCTTCACATTGCTATGATTTTGTGAGAAGGAAAAATCACATGTATCGAGAGAGAAAAGCAAACTTTATTAAATATTTATTTAAAATACCCTAGATCCTGAATAAATGATTTATATGAACATTGACGTTAATATATTTGGGAAAATCACAACCTAGTTTTAATTCAGAAAAGTGTTCAGAAGTACAATACATTTGTTTAATTTTTAAGATCTTTGCAACTTCAAGATGAAAGAAGGAAAAATTGGCCATCTCTATTTTTTTAATGATATTTTTAAATATTGTAAGTCTTTTCTCAAAACGATATACACTTAAAACAAATACATTTCAATTCTAAGTAAATATTTCAGGAAAAATCAGAAAAACATTTTCAGAACCAGAGGAAAAAGCTGTGTCTTGTATCACCACAGTGGTCAAAATTTTGCATTATTGTCAAACTGTCACATGAAGCTACTGTATTTTCACTTAATTCATATTTTTAATTCAATATTTCTGAATTATTTTTATATGTTTAACCTTGACTCTGAAGTTAGCAATTATTTGTAAAGTATAAAATGTAATGGTTATGTAAATTAGGCAAGAACACACCAAAGTGCAATAATAATATAATAATAGCATAAAAGACAGAAACTTCTTATTTCTGGATAAATATAACCATACTAATCATAAAAGGTTAGTGCTGTTTTCTGGAGTGAGAATATTCAGGTATTAATTTATTCTCATGTAGAATTAACTAAAAATCGCCATTGATTAAAAAAAGAAAATGCAAATGCCAGTGATTCATAGTATTTAGGACATGTCTAGACATTTTTAGACAGTGCCATTTGCTTAAAGACTTCAGGCACAAACTGCAGGCACAGGGACAGATTGCATAAGATGTCACGTGCTTGCTGCAACTGTATGCACGTTATTGAATTTTTTAGAGCAACCCATACCATGAATAATTTAATAGTTAATAAAATATTCAATCTGACTGATCCATTGGTTTAATTTTAAAACAAAGACTACTAATAAAAGGAGTTACACATCCTTATCAAATCTCAGGCATTAATGCAAGTAAATTGCAACCTACACGTAAGGAAAACACCAATTTCTAAAAGACATGAGATTAACGATTGGGGGCCGGGAAGGAGTGAGTGCCAGGAAAATTCTGTGTTAGCACTGGCTTCAATAAGTTTGCCCTAAGTTTTATTTTTTTGGAGCTGTCACGGAAGCTGTACTCTGCCTTCTGCAGAGGTGAGGGACAAAAAAATTAGAGAGGTCCAAGTTTTAACAGAAAAATCCCATGCAAAATGGTCTATTTCTTTTTCCTAAAGCCCTTCGCCTTTTCTCACAGGCTAGCTGGTGGGAAAGGGGAGAAATCTGCTGAAGAATATGGAGTATCCAGCTGCCAAAGCATTGTCTAAGAGAACTAGGATGGAGAGTCCAGGCAACATTTCCGTGGTTGGCTTGTCTGGTGGAATAAACCGTGCCCTGGGCGCGGGTATCTTCAGGAGACCGAGCTCCTGGCTGCAGCGAGCCTGGACTCGCCGCGCCCCAGGGTTCCCGCAATCAGACTCAGCCACACAAGCTAGACGCACTGTCTTCTCCTCCACCCCGCGCCGCCCTCCACCTCGGAGCGGGGACGTACGGCGGTGGCGGTGACACAATGCGTGCGAGTGGGTGAGTGTGTTTTCGTGTTTGGGGTGGAACCGTAGGCGGGGATGAGTAGGAGGAGAGGGGAGTGCCTGCAGTCTCCCTCCTTCCCTTCCTGCGAAGAGATCAAAGTGCAGGAAATCCAGACGGGAAATGAGAGAAAGGAAAAACAGCAGCCGTGGAAACATGTTCTCTTTTTCATATCGCTGGAGACTGGGCAGAGCAACTACTGGAATCATGACCATTTCTTAACCTTTAGTGGAGTGGCTGCCTCTGCGTGCTAACTGGAAGGGCACTTCGTACACGCAGGCGAGGCACACACCTACACACACGCCTACACGCTGGGGGAAATAACCACATTCCGGGGTACGGAGAGAGGCCGAGGCAAGGCGCAGCCATGGATCTCTACAGCCAGAGCTGCGAGGGCGTCTGGCCAGCAATACCCGGCTTCTTGGGCAAACAGTCGCCCAACAGTCCACAATTTTCCTGTGACTCAAATAGATGGATAGGTGCATGGATGGATAGTGCAGAATATTCATGCTGTGTCTAATCTCAAGTGGACTGGAGTCGACGCATTTTTAAATCCAACTACCTTTTTTAGAGGCACAGCATTTAAAATCCTGTAGCTCACTCAGCCCTCCACTTAAAGCTGCCTGCAGAGGATTCTTTTACCCGCGGATCCCTCAGAAGGGGCCGCCCGCATCTGTGAGCGCAGGAGTGGCACAGTTCCCCCACGCACAGCTCCCGCTCGCCTCTCCACACACCCTGCCTCCCCCGCTGCCCTTTTCCGGAGACAACTTCAGACCCTGCGGGCGGCAAGACCCAGGTCAGGACCAGGGTTAGTAAGGACAAGCCGCACCTTGCAGGGAACCTGGAAGTTGTCTAAACAACTCAGCAGGACACTCGTCGAAGTCCTGCGTTTTCTTTTAAATGCTTTTTCTTTTAAATATAATTTAATTTTTATTTTCCTGTTTTTATTTTTTCGTGCAAGTCACAGAAGGCATCACCCTACAAGCTCTCGCAACTTTTCCGCTCCTGGGCGGGGGCGCGAGGGGTGGCTTGCCCCGCACTGTTCCCCGTGACCAAGAGTTAACACTCGTACCCGGAGAGGGTGCACAGCAAAGCTCCAGGCCCTTGGGGTTAGACTGGGAGAGGCAGGTTCCTGGGTTTTGCTGTAACCGATGCTGCCCGTCTGGGATGGGGAGGCGGGAGAAAGCCGAAGTGATCTGTCAGACTCCTCTCCACCTCACCCGCGGCCAAAACGCCTAGCGCCTCGGTCTGGGTTTGCGAACGGCTCAGCCCGGGCCCAGCGCCAGAGCACCGCACCCGGGGGCGGGCGGCCCTGCGGCTCCCCAGCCTCTTCCTGCATCCACTAGCTGACGCCCGGGCGCACTGGCTTCCCCCGCTCCAGCCCCACGAAAGCCCGGCCGGGTATCCGCAGCCAGCATCGCCCGCACTGCCTAAAGAGGGTTTGCGCCGAGACCCAGTGGCCGAGTGAGCCAGGGAGTCGCTGGTTCCTAGGGAACGTTGTCCTCTGCCGCTCCCCACCGTCCTCCTCGTTCCTGTATCTCACCCCGGTACCCCGCACCCTCCTCCAGGCTCAGCCCCGCGCACTCTGCTCAGACTTTGCAAGCACTTTCTTGGGGCACCCAGGACTCAACGCCTCCTCCGCGCCGCCCGCGGCGCTCGCCCTTCTTTGCACGCCCGAGGGACCGCCTCCGGCCCCCTGCGCGGCGTTTCCCTGGGGACTCCCAGCCCATCCCTCACCCAGCTGCCCGGTCCCGACGTCTCACCTTTGACGAACTGGGGGACACCGAGGCTGAGCCCGACCAAGAGCCAGGCGGCTACCGAGCGCTTCATGATCCCGTCTCCCGGTCGTGACCCCAGCTGGTCAGGGGTCGTCTCGGAGGGCAGTGTAGCAGAGCTGGCACCGCAGGGCAGCAGCAGACTCCGCCCCTACTAAAGAATTCAAGAAGACGTCCTCTTTCCGCAGCGCTTTCTTAAACAAATTCTTGGAGAGAGCGAGAGGGGTGACCAAAGAGAGGAACCTTTCCTTCCCTTTTGCCTGTGCTCCGGCGCGCGGAGGTGGGTGAGCTCCGGGGAGCGGCCGGCGGGCTCAGCTCTCCGCTGCGGGTGGGTCCCGGCAGAGGCGCAGCGGGCGGGGCGCGGGCTCCCGCGGCCGCTCCGGGTCTCCTGAGCGGGCGGGCAGACCCACCCGCAGACGCGCGGACGGGGCGCTCGGCTCTGGCTGTTCTCCGCGCCGCTGCTGCGGGGCTTCTGACTTGGAGAACAATGAAGCGTGAGCCGGAGGGGAGCGAGCGGGCCGCCGGGAGCGCACTGTGTACAAACAGAGGCGGCGTGCGTGTGAGTCTGAGCCTGGCAGGCGCGCTCCCCACTTCCCCCGGAGCCCGCCCGCCCTCCGCCCGCCCTCTCATTCACTCCCGGGTCTCCCCCTCCTCTCTCTCTTCTGCTCTCTCTCTCTCTCTCCCTCCTCCCTCCCTGTTCCTCTTTCAGCTCCTTCTGCTGTCAGAGAAAAGGGAGACAACTGCAGCCACACCCTAGCACCTAGCACCTGCCACCACCTCTGAAGTTCCTGCATTGCCTATACCTTCTCCAAGCATGCTGGAGACTCTGGAGTTAAGAGCTGCACCCTTGCTGCCTTAGAGTCCCTCGGATTCCAGCATTGACTTTGTAATTAACCACGTTAAGGATTCCCCTGAACTTCCTTTCTCAGTATAACCAGGAAAAGAAGTTAAGAGATTTTGAAAAGTGGCTCTTGGGGGCACAAAGCTGCGTGAGAGACAGAACCCTGCAAAGTGAATTGCCCCGTATTTCTCAGGAAATGCAACATAGTCAGCATCCAGACTCTAATCAGCTAAGACAGGGCTGCTCTGCTGTTCTGTCTACATTTTACTTAGCTCCAGGGCTGGGGAGAGAGGGTTGTGGGCTCATCTGTTCATTGGGGCAAAAGGGTGGAAGTGAGTAGGACACATGCATCTCGTTAAGCACGATATCTGTTTCAGAGAAGAGTGGGGCGATTTTGGGAACTGTGCAAGAAGATAGGCAAGGACAGACTCTTGAAGCATCACTAAGGTGGATCAAATTTTCCTGCTATCCGCCAAAATAAATGGACTGGTTTTTCCAGTGAAAGTGATTGAACCAAAAATACAGCTCATGGCTTACAATTGTGCTTTCTTCTCTTTTTCGGTTAGAATGATTGCTTACTGTACATGGATCCAATTCCAGTAGTTACAGGTACCAAAATGAAACAGGGCTCTTTATTTTTTCCTCCTAGAGAGGGAGGTAGGGAGAAAGAAATCAGAACTAGAGAAATGGAAAGAGAAACATCCTTGAAGGCAAGAAGTTGAAGGGTGAATCTACTAAGAAAAGAATAACAGTGTGCAATTAGCAATGGAACTATATCTTCATTTGCCTCCTTGAGCCCTTTAAATTTCAATTTCCATCTTCCTTTTGAAATTTTAAGAGAAATGGAGAATGCAAGATGAATAGAACCCTAATGCGGAATACTGCTAGGGAAGGTTTAAGGTATTGTATCACTGGCAAACAAACAACAACAGAAAAGAAAGGGGGGGGGGAGAGAGAGAGAAGGAGGGAGGGAGGGAGAGAAAGGAAAGAAGGAAAGAAAAGAAAGAAAGAAAGAAGAAAGAAAGAAAGAAAGAAAGAAAGAACGAAAGAAAAAGAGAGAGAGAAAGAAAATCTTTCAGAAAAGGATTTGTTCAGATCTCATGATTGGTGGGCAGGTTAAAACACATTTTTTAAAAAAATCACCTTGCTACGAGAATGAGGGAGATTCATTTATTTACTGTCTGTTTTTATGCTTAAAGCCACAGATATTAGAATAAGACAGTAGTGTCCAGAGTTGTAGCACAGTCGTTTCAAGCAACCAAATTCTAACTTTCTGGCCCATCCTCATTACTTCCTTTTGAAAGTGTGTTTTCAGTCACCCTGGGGCATGTTCGTCATAAAGTACACTTTAACTTTTGAAATGAGACGTCTAATATTAGTTTTAGGTATTATTCCAAAATGTAAAGTTGGAAACCAGTCTCCCTGTGATGAGATATTTAAGGCAAAAAAGGAGCGGGGTAGGAGTTTTGTTTAGTTTTCTATTTTCTTCCCTATTTCTTTCCACTTTTTTGATAATATTTTACCTTAATGAGCATATTAGGAAGTTAAATTACTTTTGCCAACAATGTGTGTTTCTGAACATGTATCTTTCTTTTAATTTAAAGAAGTGTTTTTGAAAACTCTAGTGGTCATAAAAGTACATTAAAATGCACACTCTATGCCCAAATACTTGGGGTGGGGACAGTAAATGCCATTCTGTATTACCTGATAGACAACTTATGAAAGAATTTGCCAGTTTAATGCCTCTACTTTCTCAAGTTTCATTTCCAATCAAAAATTGATACATAGTCTTAAATCCATAGCTCCATATTCATAATCATCCCCTCCTTTTTTAACCACTTATTGATAATGATCACCTACCAATAAGCCTTTCATTTTGAAGATTCTAGGCACTTTACCTAATTTACATTGACAGGACTCATTTCACTCTTACTGCATTCACACATAGCCTCTTCAGAAGTGGAATATAAGAGATGTTAAAAGACCGCAGAAATTGAATTATTTAAAATAAAATAAAATTTAAAAGTAAAAGGATGAAACTCTATTGTGAATCTTTTACCTCACGTAAAGTGCTAAGAGACCTTTGCTAATTAATCACTGTGATCCAGCCTACAACTTTATAGCTTCTCCCAATAGGAGCCTAACATGCCGAGAATGAATTTGTACATCACTCAAATACAGTGCTTCTCAAGTTATTTTCTGCAGGCCTCCTTTTCCCCAAGATGTTAATAGGCTTCTGAGGGGAAAAATACACAGTAAAATAATTTGGGGAGACATTGCATATCAAAGTAGCCTCTTCAAGATTCATGGTAAATGTTAGCATGTTAAATACTTTGAATGCTCTTGTGGTTACAAATTTTTTTTAATCCAGCATTTTGCAGATTTTCTTTTTTGTACTATAACAAGATTTTTCTTAGAACACCTGTTAGCATAGTAAATATTTAGCGCTACAAAAGAAATAACTTGAAAATGATACTTTAAAACAAAGCAGGGGCCAGACACACTGGCTCACACCTGTAATCCCAGCACTTTGGGAGGCTGAGGTGGGCAGATCACCTGAGGTCAGAAGTTCGAGACCAGCCTGGTCAACATGGTGAAACCCCATCTCTACTAAAAGTACAAAAATTAGCCAGGCATGGTGGTGGGCACCTGTAATCCCAGCTACTCAGGAGGCTGAGGCAGGAGAATCACTTGAACCCAGGAGGCGGAGTTTGCAGTGAGCAGAGATCCTGCCACTGCACTCCAGCCTGGGCAACAAGAGCGAGATTCCACCTAAACAAAAAAAAGGCAGACTAAATTAGCAGCAAGACAAACAAAAAAGAAACTGTAAAAAGTTCACTGGTTTTTGCTATGGGCTGAATGTTCCTGTACAACCCCCTACCCCCAAATTCATATGTTGAAGCCTAAGTCCCTACTGTGATATGTTTGGATGTAGAGCCTTTGGGAGGCAGTTGGGCCATGTGAAGAGCCCTCTTGAACTGTATTAGTGCCCTTATAAGAAGAGGCACCAAAGAAGTGATCTTTCTCTGCCCTCTGCTATGTGAAGACACAGCACAGTTAGAAGACAGCTATAAACCAAGATGCCGGCCCTTACCAGACACCAAATCTGCTTCTTGATCTTGGACTTCTCAGCCCCCGGAACTGTGAGAAATAAATGTTTACTGTTGAAGCCACCCCAATCTACAGTAATTTGTTATAGCAGCTGAAATTGACTCAAATAATTTTCAAAAATTATTCTCATTGACTAGTAGTTTGGATTCTGGAGGATACCTGGATTCAGGTATACATTGGATTTGAGGCATATCTGAACTGGAATAGGATCTCTATCATTCTAACTCCTTTAACTAAATTAAAGTCTGTTAATTCCCAAACCTCAATATTCTCATCTATAAAATGAAGTTAGTAATAGTATCAAACCCAAAGTGATAGGTTGTGGTGGTGCACAAAAGGGCCTAGCCCAGCAGTGATGATGATGAAAGATAATGATACTGATAAATAAGAAGATAATAATAATATACATAACTCTAGCAGAATTTTTCTTAATATTTAATTATCTTCATTCCCCATCTCTCACCCCCATTAAATTATCTAGAATTTTTTAGTTCATCTTTTGGTTTGTCAAGCAACAAAATACACTAAGAGTAGTCTTTTTTATTATCTTGAAATTATAGAATTTTTTTATTAATTTGCATTTCCCAAACTTCTCATTTAATATCCAAAATGATCTTTTATTAAAATTTTATTAAAATTTTTATTAAAATTTTATTAAATTTTAAAATTTTTATTAAAATTTTATTAAATTTTAAAATTTTTATTAAAATTTTATTAAAATTTTGCTCTCAGCCTCAGACTCAATGCAGAAAATTCAATCAAGACCACCTACTTCAACTTCTGACCTACAGAACTGGGAGTTAACAGCTTGGTGTTGTTTCAAACTGCCAAGTTTGTGGTAGTTTGTTATGAAGACTAATATAGTTGGTTACTATTGTTATTCCAATTGTAGGGAGAAGGAATAAGTCATGGAGTGGTTAGATTAATTGTCCATGCTTTCAAATTAGTAAGTGTCAGAGGCAATAAATGAATCCAAACAGTGTGAATCCAAAGCGCATTACATTCTTCTGCCAACAATTATGAAGGGTCAATTGTATGCTAAGCTCTAATGCATTTTTATATATATGGCTGTACTAAATAAGTTATCTCAACAACCTTTATGAAGCAAATATTATCATTGTTTTCATTTGACTGCTGAGGAAACCAAGAATCAAAACATTTATGTCCTTTGCCCCGGATCAAGGTGGCAGTGAGGAATGGAGCTAAGAGCCAGTATCAGAGCCCTGCTCTGGTTCTAGGAGTGATTTTCATAGCCATTGTGTTAAAATGCCTGTTTAGACAGTGGTCTAACTTACTTTATTTACATTTTCAATTTCAATGATTATAATTGTCATTTTTTAGTACAGTTTACATTTCTGTCTGATTTTGATGCATCATTTTAGAATATACATTGCTTAAATGCAGAATTTTAAGCACATTTTAAATTCTCTACAATATTTGCATAACTCATAACACTTTTCTTCATTGCTCCCACAAGCACCAAGATAATTCTTTCCTCCAACCCTCTGCTCATGCTGTTATTCCCACCTGAAATGCCCTCTTACAAATCCTACGAGCTGAATTCCTGTTGCTACTTAAGACCTCCCCGACTTATTCCAGCACCAG